GTGTGGGGTGTGGGTGTGGATGTGGATGGGTGTGGGTGTGGGGTGTGAGTAGCGGTGTAAGCCGATAGGCTAATCGGCGGCGGCGCCAGTTTTTTAAAACTTTTTAAAAATGCTCGGCGGCGCAGATTTGATATTCCAAGGTTGCACGGCGGCGGCGGCTCGAAAATTGTAAAATTTCGAATACCATCGGCGGCGCGGCGGCTGTAATTAAAGTGTCTCAGCGGCGGCGGCTTGAAGTTTAAAAAGTACTACATTATCATAAAGAAATTAGTCTATGATCTTGTCTACACGAGGAGGATAATGCAGTATTCAATTCGTATTAAATCAATTCGTGTCTACATTTGTCAGTTAATGCATCAATCAGAATCCTAGACTTTGAAATGAATCGTAGTTTTTGTTCACTTCAATCATAGAGGAATCGCTCATTGAAAACTGCGTCAGTCTCATTGGAAAATCCAATGAGACTTTGATTGGTGCATCAACTTTAATGCGGTTCTGAATAGTGCAATAAATTTAATGCACTTTTTAAAAGTGCTTTAAATGTTTATTAACTGTTTAACCAATCATGTCTCTAAATTTACCATCAAAATTTTTAGTGTAGACAAGGCCTATTTCAATATCTCGGCCTTTTTATCTTCGAACACATATGTGGAAAAACTTTAATTCACATCTAGACATAATAAAAAAAAAGTCTAAAATTAAAAAATAAATATAATTGCTAGGGTAAATAATAAATGAAAAATCACCACCACGATTGTTAATAAGTAAAGGCACTTAGCGTATTCAAGTTTGTTGTTTTTATTTTGTTTTTGTTAATCAAAATTTAAAATGCTTGTCTCTTCTTGTATTTATTAATATACCTAATATAAAGACATAAAGAACTGAAATGATAACTTAGAATTTTCAACTAACACAGAATTAAGTGTTTGTTTACAGTTTAGAACCCCAAGCACCTGACTGGTCAAAGAACCAGCACGAAAGTGAAGTTGAAGGGAAGGAAGATAATGAAGAAGAGATATATTGGGACTCTAAGATGTCAAAGTACCGAATTAAAGAAAATATAAATAAAACGTTTATTTATGCTAGTTGCCAGCGGCGGCGGCGGCGGCTCGAAAATTTTAAAATTTTGAATACCATCGGCGGCGCGGCGGCTGCAATTAAAGTGTCTCAGCGACGGCGGCTTAAAAATTTCTAAAATTTCTACTGTCACGGCGGCGGCGGCTTAAAATTTTTCGAGTCTGTCGGCGGCGACGGCGGCTCAGCCGCACGGCTTACACCTCTAGGTGTGAGTATGGGTTGGGTGTGGATGTGAGTGTACAATGAATGCTATGCCCACACCCATACACACACGCGCACCCACACCCAACCCATACTCACACCCCACACCCATTCCCTTAGACTCCAATATAACTTTATCGGGTTCGTTGAAAAGATAAGAAATCAACTTAGTTACAATACGATACATGCATATATTTAAAATGTCAATAAATATGTGATAGAAAGTTGAAACTTTTGGAATATTTGAAACATTATTAATAAAAATCTTAAATCAATCAAATTTTCTTTTTCTTTTTTCTAATCAATAAATATAAAAGTTTTGTAAACAGCCTGGTTGAATGTAGAGTGCATCAAAATCGGTTGAATAAACACTCATGTTTTGATTACTCATTGAAAAGGATTCCAAGATTTTTTTTTCTTTCTAGTCATTTTTTACCTTTAGAAGAAATGCAAACACTGAATATGCATTCTTATGACACATAAGATAGCGAATCAAAGTCTTAAAGAAAAGAAAAGATACATATTTTTCGATTTACATATCAATCAAGTGATCACGTTGTCCTTTTTCATGTAATATAATAGTACGCACTTATAGATTCATTCGTTCATTTTTTTTCGTAGAGTATTTAATCATAATTATTATCATTTATTGATTTATACATATATCATTATTGACTTTAGTTTTATTTTGTTAAATATTAAATTTTTAAAAGTGTTCTTTAGTACTGAAATAAGGGCTATCTAGATTATCCTCTTGTTCTATTGGAAATCGTATCCGAGAAAACAAATAAACAAACAACTAAATAACAGTTGACTCAATCTTGTATCACCATTAAAATAGCGATCATTCATTCGCTCGTACGTACGACACGAAGATAAAAAATGAGTTGACTCACCTAATAGATACATCATAATATTTTTATGATACAGTATAAAAAATAAAATAGACAGCGTCATTTATCATTGATATATATATATATAGATACATATATGTATAAATCGAACTAATATTGTTACTTTATGTTTTTTAGAACTAGCCATGGTAACTCATGCAGGAAATCCAATTAAATATTGAAAACTATTATATTAATTAAAAAACTAATAATATAAAATATTATTTCTTAAGATATGGAATTATTCATTCCAATGATTAATCAACTGCAACATATATTTACATCAGCTAATGCGAAATTGATATTAACATTGCCACAAATTGCAGTTGTTGGTGCACAATCCGCCGGTAAAAGTTCTGTACTTGAAAATATTGTTGGACGGTATGAAAATAAAATATATTTATTTATTTGTAAATCATATTATTTTCTAGTGATTTTCTTCCTCGTGGTGGAAACATGGTTACAAAACGACCACTTGTACTACAATTGATAACGTCACAAGGCCAAGGTAATTTGTAACAGCTAAACACCAAAACAATACTATTATTCATTTTAATTAGAATATGCAATATTTGGACATAAACCACAACAAAGATTTATTAATTATGCTGATGTTCGAGTAGAAATTGAAAATGATACTAAAGCTGTCGTACGAGAAGATATGGGTGTATCAAATTTACCAATTAATTTAACAATATATTCACTACATGGTAATAATAAGTATAAATATTAATGGTTTCTATAAGTCTATATCTATATCAAAATTTTCATTTCATGTATATGATTACTTTATTCGATGATAAACTTTTAGTCAGTTGTATATGGCAAATGTCATTGATAAAAAAAAATTATTTGGATGTATACTGATGAGAGATTCTATTATATAGAACTTTTAATATATGAAGTGTACAAGATAAAAGATTTGAAATAAATATTTTTAATAATTTATCGAATCTGTCATAAAGAATATGTATGTAATAATCCTTTCATAGTAAACGATATGTTGAAATGAAACTAGAGTGCTTTTATCTAAATGATAAAAATATGGTTGATTAATTGACACGATGGCAGTTTAAAAATCAAAGATCATATGAAAATTGTTTCTTTTTGCATTAAGGCCGCCCCCCCCCTCCAAAAATCAATTTTTTTTAAATTCAATTTTCGAGATAAACATATGGTTGTTACCTTTAAGGTGTCTAGTTTTAAAATTCATGAAAGTCACTTCCAACTTCAAAAGGATTCTTAAGAATAATCGATGAACTTCTAAAGCTTTCTAGCAAAAAACATGGTTCCTAAGACTATAGGGAACTTATAGGTCCGCTTGTTTTTATCATCTATAATGGCAAACAATGACACATCGTATTGTTGTACGTCTACTCGATGAGAGGTCTGATGGGTTTTTAATTGATATACAATATAACTACGTTTTTTTTCTAAGGTATGAAAATAATTCAACAAAATATTCATAGAAAAAAATATTTGTGCGTTTTTCTCAAAACTGATTTTTGGCAAAAATGAGAAACTCCGAAGAAAATTTTTTTCACTATAGTTTGTTCCATCGAACTGCGGTTTTTTATTCGATAAATTGATGAATCCTCTTTCGAATGAGGGAAATGAAATTGGTATTCGATCCTTGATATTGGAAAAACCAAATGTTTTCTAGAAAACCTCGACTACGGATTTTAGAACTTCAAGTTTTCGAGAGTTGCAATAATGAAATAAAATAAAAATTAAAAAAGTCACTCCCCTAATCCGAAGTAGCAAGGAGCTCTCTTTCAAATGAGATCAACCCGGACGCTATAGCTGGAAGTGTGTTCAAAATTTCTTGTTCCCGTGGAAGCCCTAATTTACCCCTCGGTTGTTCGAAATCTTTCGAATGGTAAGGTTTAGAGCCCTGAAATTTTTTTTAAATATGAACAACTAAGAATCGAATATTTCTAGAAAATTTCATGAAATTTCCACGTACTATAACAAAAATTGATTTGGGAGGGGAGCGGCCTTAAAAATGACAATAAAATATATCTATTCATTAAATCTTGTCTGTGTTTCGAGTTACTCAAATTAATAAACTATGCATAGATTAACATAACAATTTCTTAAAATCAAAAAAAAATTAATTGACTACTAAAAATCGAACAATTTCTAAAATTATATTTTCAAATAGAATAAATTGTAATTCTATTCTAAACTTATTCAACTTTGTTGTCTTTAGTTTCCATTGAAAATAAATCATAGATTCACATCTGACGCGATACGAATATTAAATTTGTCAAAATGTAAAATATTATCTTAAGTAATTTACATAATTAGTTTCTCTTCTTAATGAGAAGAAAATTGAAAACTTGTAAAAATCTTAATTGTAACAAGTAAGTATTAGTTACAAACAAAATAAGAACTTATTATTTATGGTTACATCGTATTTGTATAATTGGCAATGATTAAGCTATATTTTGTTCATAGATTTTTCTTTTCCATTTTTATCACGTAGTAAATCCATAGCATAAGGTGATTTCATTGTAAAAACTATGATTAATTTCATTATCATTTAGTTGTAAGAGTTGTCAATCTGAAAATTAGATCAGTGTTAACTTTGACATTCCTATACATTTCCGATTAAACACATCTAACTAAAAATATTGACATTAATTATTACTTTATAAAAGAAAAACTAATGCATTTAATTTATTTTTAGTTGTTAATCTTACACTGGTCGATTTACCAGGCATGGTTAAAGTTCCATCTCAAGGACAACCGCCGGACATTGTGAAAAAAATCGATGATATTATTCTCGAATATATAAGCAATGAAAGTTGTCTTATTCTAGCTGTAACACTAGCTAATATAGATATTCTTACATCAGATGCTTTAGTTATGGCACGTAGTCGAGATCCAATGGGTAAACGTACAATAGGTGTATTAACTAAAATTGATATGATGGGTAAAGGCCATAATGCACGTGATGTACTTTTAAATAAAGTTGTTGTTCTTGAGCGAGGTAAATCAAAATAAAATTTAAAAACAAGAAATTGATTAATATTCTTCATAATTTTAAACATAGGTTTTATTGGTGTTGTTCTTCGTGGTCAACGTCTTGATGAATATGGACGAGTATCCAAAGAATTAGACATTCCGACTGCATTAGAATATTAACATCAATTTTTCAAAATGATCCAGCATATCGGTAAATAAAAATTAATTTTAATAAATATGTTTATTATTTTTTTCTAATTTCATTATTCATTTTTAGTGATATAGTCGATCGATTAGGTGTACCATATTTACAACGTACACTTAGTGTTCAATTAACTGATCATATTCTTAAATGTTTAGGGTGTGGATGTGGGTGTGGATGATATGGAGAGTAAAAACCACGCCCACGCCCACACCCACACCCGTACCCTTGCCAGGAACCTGGAGCCCGATATTCAAAAGGTTTCCTGGTTCCTGAGAACCGGAAACCTATGAAGGTTCTAAGTTCCCAGGAACTGGAAACTCACATGGGTTCCTGGTTCGCGAGAACGGAATCGGAAGCTGACACCCCTACTCACACCCACACCCACAACCACTCACAGCTACAGCTACATCCACATCCACACTCACACCGCAGATAACTACAGTACCATTTCATCGAGAACAGTATTCACTAAAATCAAACTATCAGACATAGAAATCGACTGCCTTACTCAACGGCTGGAAACTGAAGAATATACGTATGATGATGATATGAAAAATACGCCTGTTGAATAAGACCACTTTTACACAGTCCTCAAAAACAATGATGGCATGTTTGAACAATCGGCTATGGTTGACAAGGCATGGCATCATCATATTCTGAATAGAAGAATGTATAGAACCTTTTTACGTCAGCATTTTGTATGGGACTTCTTCATCATGTGTCTTTCCAGTATGGAAAATTAGTGAAAACGAACTAAATGATGATCGTTTAGAATGATTAGAAATTACTGAACTCTAGATATCATCGAATACATGAGCTGTCAAGCGATACTTATGGTAATAGCAAAAAATCCAGAGTGTGAGTGACAAGTAGAATAACACCCACATTCATCTTCTCTTTTTTTTATTAGAATATAGTATTAGATTTAATTTTTATTTAAAAAGATTTGTATTTTAAATGATAGAAGTTAAGTTAGACTTCTATTGATAGATGAATATTGTTGATAGCGGCCTTAACTTGAGAAAAGATAATGTCAACTTCAACACGAACAGTTGTCGGGTCTATGATTTGATGTCGAGCATTATAATTATTAGGTACCAACGAATTCATCGTGACGTTGAACAGATCAGCCACTAGAAAACAAAAACAGAACTACTTAGGTCATACCAAAAGTAGTGAGTTTCGCACCTTAATTTCGTATAGATTGCTTGAAAAAAATTTCTTTTTTTATGAAAAGATGAAGCGTCTTTTGCTCTATCTTTCTATGCTATTTGATCACTATTCAGTCGATATCATTATAATAAAATTATCATAAAAACATTTTTTTGCTGCAAACTAGCTGGTACCATTTGAATCATAGTGGGTGGGACATTTTTGCATTTCATTTATTATCACTTAGTAGGTTGTATTAAAGAACACAATATACCACAAGATGCAGCGTGAAAAGCTCTACGATTTACAAAGGACTGCCTATTTTATAGTTGTACTTTTTATTTTCAAAATGGACAAAACTCTCAGCGACCAAATGTCGACATTATGAAAATGAGATGCTTTTTTGGTAAAAGATGAATTCGTTTTTTCTTATCTCATCTTCTTATTACCTGATGTACTTTATTAGAAAAAAACAAAATACTGTACAAGATGCAACGTGAAAAGTTCTACAATTTCCAAAGAACAATTATAAAGAGATGCGATAGAAAAACAAGCGAATTCGTCTTTTACCATGAAAGAATATCGTTTTCGCAACGTCGAAATTTGATCGCTCAGAATTTTGTCCATTCTGAAAACAATAAGTGCAACTATAGAATAAGCGATCCTTTATAAATTGTAGAGCTTTTCACGCTGCATGTTGTGCTATATTTTGTTCTTTTAATATAACCTACTAAGTGATAATAAAATGAAATGAAAAGTGCCCCATTTTTTATCACACGAGTAATGCTCGTCGGTTCCACTTACTTGATCCCCGATTGCATAAAACAGAAGTATATTTCACATGTGTCGGTATCGAAAGAAGTGATCTACCAGCTTTATCACAATAACTGACGCAAATTTCAATTTCTTAAATCGTGAAAGTCAAAGAAACTGCTCGGCTTTTTTGTAAAATAATTGCAGATAAACCTTACTTTTCAGCAAGAGATTGTAAACCTAGCAATTCTTTGTCAGAAAGCACTTTAACTGCTAAATCCCTGTTTCACCTTTCATTCTCACATAGACAGACACAAAAACTTATTTTATTTCATATAACCCTTCGTATAGCCGAGGAAACATCATCATTTTCTCAAAAAAACTTTTACCCTGACCCGAAAAATTCAACTCAAAATTTTGAGAAACTGACTTCAGATTCGGATTCATCGGTCCCGATTTACTGTTGCCAACTTTTCCCTTCGGCCTGCAAAAATCTGACCGTTTGAAAGCCTAATATAAAAACCTCTGGTTGGTTGAAATCTTAGGATGAAAAAAACATGACTGACATAAGTTCTAATATGAAAAACCCGATTCGCTGAAATTCCGATGCATTCATATTTGATCATGTTCTTTTGACCCTGACGCAAATACACATACAAACATACATGCAACCCATTTTTTTTCATATGACCCTCCCTACAGTCGAGGGAACCTCCATTATGATCCAAATGGTATCAGCCAGTTTGCAACAAAAAAACAGTTTTTATGATAATTTTATTATTATGATATCGATTGAATAGTGATCAAATAGCATAGAAAAATAGAGCAAAAGACGCTCTATCTTTTCATAAAAAAAGAAATTTTTTCCAAGCAGTCTATACGAAATTACAGTGCGGGGCTCACTACTTTTGGTATGACCTAAGTATGCATTCTCATATTCATATAGATCACTGAGATAAAGTGAATTTTTACTGCAAATGGTTCTCCGAACTAAAAATTTCAATGGAAAAATATAGGTGATAGTGCAAATGTAACCATTCATTCAATTATTTGAACATGTTACTTCAGATGATTGACTATGATAAAACAATCAGCTTTTTGTATTGCAAAAAAAAATGATAGAAAATTTCAGACTGAGAGATGAATTTATCACATGAGCATTTCAACATTGCACAACTTGAATAAATCTATTACAAAGAGACTTCTTAGACTAGGATTAGAGTTCAAAATGAAACTACAAGGTCATGAATACCTTCATCGACGAGATTGTCGGTTGAATTGAAGAAACGAAGATTAATCTTGATATTATTCGTAATGATATTAGCTTCGAGCAAGACATATGTCAAACCGGCATTCATCATTCGTTTTACATAATGACTGACATCGACTGATTGAATCAGGTGAGTGATATTCGATGTTGTCGCTTGAAAGACACAATTATCATCATTAACTTGCGGCACAATAATAATTGATCCTTGAACAGGTACTGTCCATTGGGAAATATTCATTGTCATTGATTCATCACATGTTGGATTGCCATTTCGAATGAGATTTTTATTCTTGCCGATCGATCCATCCGGTAGAATGGCCTTGGATAGGGAGAAGACTTGATTGAGTTGACTTTCTAAGAGAAATATTGATTCATTGAGATTACTTTCGGAAAAGTCGGATTCGGTCAAGTCAGCTCTAGCGAAATTAGCTTCGATAAATGAGGCGCGACGAAAATTGCAATTGATGAATTTGCCAGAGGATAGCTCGACTCTGTTCATGCTAGCATTTTCGAAGGTAGTGTTATAAATATGAAGAGAAACAAGGATGCTATCATCTAGAATTGCATTACAGAAATTGCTCTCGTTGAATGTCGCTAAAAAGAGTGTCGATTGGCCGAGTAAAACACCACGAAAGTTACTCCGAACTAACTGAGCCATTTGCATACTGACTCTAGCCATACTGGCATCTTCGAAAATAGCTTCTTCTAATTTGACATTGAGAAGTTCACTATCATCAAGAATGGCCTTTGAGAAGTCAGTTCGATTACCTTCGGCTCCGTAAAAATCGGACTGAATAAAGTGTGCCTGTCGAAAGATAGCATCCGTTATATTGGTAAACCGAAAGCTATTCTCACCACCGTTAGCTTGATAAAAGTTAGCATGCACCAATTTTGCTGTATCCAATTTCGCTTTATGAAGATTGGCACGCTCGAAATTGACTCCATTCAATTGAGCATCTAAGAAGATAGCTGCATCAAGCTTGGCTTCACTAAAGTCAGTCTCAATAATGTCAGCGAAGGCTAGACTTGCATTAATAAGTGAAGCTTGTCGAAAATCGGCACCAACAAGTGAGCCATAGGGAAAGCGGCCTCTGTCCAATTGGGATTCCTGAAAACTGGTATTATGAAGTTTAGCAATACCGAAATTGCTGTCACGTAGATCGGAACGAGTGAGAGAAGCATAAGTCAGATTGGCCCATCTGAAAGATGTATTACGAAGTGATAGACAATCAAAAGACGCACCAATTAGTGTGGCGCGGTCAAGATCAAGTTGATCAAAATACTGACTGGGACAAAACACTAGAATAAAAATAGAAAATAATTATTTGGATGAAATAGAATGCAAAGCATTTTTTCCAAAGAACATTGCTACACATTCTGAATGAAATCATTGCATACATACGATGGTTCTATGATATTGATCATTACGAAGTCTCGGAAAACCTTTTTTTACACATTCTATAGTATGAATATACTATTCCAAGAAAAAAAACTGAGAAAGATGTCGACCATTTCACATTGTCTATCGCCCGTTCGTTAAAATTACTATTTCTTATATTTATGTTTTTGTAAAAGATATTACACCGAACTCTATGATATATTTTCCTTAACTGACTTCCATCTTTGTTTCCCAGTTGAATTCCATTTAAATTGACTCCTGCTAAACTAATTCGTTGTCTTGGAAGATCAGTATTGTTATCTAGAAGAAGATTTGCATCGTTGAGAATTTGAATTAGAAGAGTTTTGTGTGGAACATCGAATCGACGAAGTAAACTCAACACTTTTCGTTGAAGCAGTGGTATAGATTCACGAGTTAAATTATATGTATCGAGAAATTTATCAAGATCATGTTCATCCTGACGAAATTGTTCGTGCCGTTGATGTTCTTCGATTCGTTGAGAACGATATTGTTCTAATGTCCATTCATGTTGTTGTCTTTCTTGAGCCATACCTCGTTGGCCAGCGAGTTCGACTGTCTCACGAAATTCAAACTCTTTTTGATGATGTGTTGCAGTGAGATTTCGATTCAATTCAACATTTAATTGATTCCAATCACGATCTTCTTGTCGTTGTTTTTCACTGAAGTACTCTGCTCTTTTTGTTAATTCTAATGTGAAATTCCATTGTGCCGCTTGTTGTTGTTCCAGAAGACGTTGTTCATGTTCACGTTGAAGTTGAGCTATGTGTTCATTTGATTGAACCACCATAGCAACATCAGTCTATAAATAATCCATCAATCATTACACATACATTAGTTAAGAAGATATGTAAAAATTTTTCATAGAAAGAGAAACGGTAAAGAGATGCTGTACAGTTTGTTGCATACCTTTGATTGTGATGAGCTGTTACTGTTCGTTGGCAGTCTTATGACAAGAATGATGAGTATTGCAGCAAGAAGACCAATGACAAAAAGTCCAACAACTATCCTGCTGATTAACTCGATGATCATTATTTTTGTATTCCTTTGATACGATATCATGAAATCTTGATTTGTCGAAGTCATTTTGTACGAAAGACAAATGAAGTATTTGCTTTTTTTTACTTGTGCGTAGTTCTATAATCAACATGGCAATGTTTCTACCATATATATATCATTGTACTTCGCTAAGCATAGCAAATATTAAGTGGAGAGATGAAATTGTATTACGCACTTAAATCGTAAAGAAAATATTGAATTTAGATGCTCAGTTCTTTTTTGAATATAGTTCTCACACGACACGTACTATGCATGGAAAGAAGAAAGCAAATATTTTGATATTAAGCATTATGGACGTCATATCAGTGAACATGCCACATAATGAAAATACCTTGAAGTATTCAAAATTGATTTGCGTCAAGAAGATAGTACAAATGTGCATTTTATTCAACATTATCATTGACAAAAAATATATCAGATAAATAAAACTATTAGAGAACCTCATTTCTCATGTCACTAAGTAATTATATTTTGTTTTCCAATCAAGTCATGGTTGACAAGTGTGCATTGAGCAAATACTTTTTCACTCATGCAGAAGTCACTTCATTGTTGAAGTTTAATTCGACAGACTGCCTATACTTCACTAATTTAGACTTGTTTCGAGAATAGATTTTCTGAATCACCTTACCAATATATCGTCAATATCTGACTCAAATCTTATTGAATATGACAAAACTTTTCCTTTTATGATATTGTGACTCTTCTTACGCATTAAAAGTAGATCGAATTTTACAAAAAAAATTTCCATTGTATTTGAAGATGCTACATCATTTTTTTCAACTATACTATTTACAAAAACCAAAAACATTCTTTTGTCCATCTGTGATGCCTCCAGATTATTCTTTACTTATTAACTTATAAATAATTTTATCCGACGCAAATAAGTTAGTACAACCAACATCGTTTGTAGCTTATTTGTTTCCGTCACACATCTCATATGCCATCTTCAAATAAACTATTATTGTCACCAGTGTGCCTCTCTTTCATACGATACTATCACTCTTCATGTAGTCAAATTTTATGTATATCCAGGCAAAAATAAAGTAACTAGGTTTTTTCTTTCTTGGTATTTTTGGGTTTTATTTAGGATCTTATTATTGTTGTTGGAGCAGAGCAAGCGAATACGAAAAAAAAGAGGCACACATTAAATTAAAGCTGTAAGCTAATATTTGCCATAAGTTTTTCTTTCAGGTATTGTTTGCATGTGATATTAGTGGTATCTTAAAACATAAAACAAATATTTTGATACTAATCGCTATGGATATCAAAAAAACGAACGCCTAACATAATGATGAAAATGTACATATTCTTTTCGTGGTTGGCATCGAAGAATTGATGTAATTATTAATCAATCAGTATTCTATTTAATTTTTTTGTCAAAAAGGAACTGATGGTTTCTTTATGAAAAATATTTTAGCATCCATGAACGTGGCTAACTTTAAATCATTAGTTTTAATCAAGAGAAATAAGTTACGGTATACTTTTTCGCTCTCAAGCAATATTTTGTGCTGTGACAGATATATTTACGGGTGTGAGTATGGGTGTGGGTGTGAGTGTGTATTTAATTCATACGTACCCACATAGCTACATCCACACTCCGTACCCACGCACCAACACTCACACCCACACTCACACCCACACCCACACCCACACCCACACCCACACCCACCCAAGATTAAATAAACAACTATATATGAAGTAAATAAATAACTAAAGTGATAATAGTATGGCAACAAATGCGTTATTTTTAAATGGCGGAACTCAAATACTTTTTGAATTTTTCTCATAACTTCACTCTTATATATTTTATTTAGCATTTCACAGTCGCTTTAATCGACGAGTTCAAGTTAATTTTCTAAATATTTGGTCGTTCATAAAGTTTCTACAAGGAGAAAAAACTCGCTTTCGCCACTTAAGTATTCAATTTCATGCAGGTTTAGGAACATGATCTAAGCAAATCAAAACAATTGCAATTCAACGTCGTATCGATAATCTTGGTGAACGATATTATGATGGTGTTATAAATGCTATGGAATACTTAGATGGCTTATCATTCATCGTTGCAAAACGAAAAACAATGATTTTTTAAATTTATTTCTTCATTCTTACAGTTTTTTTTTCTATTAACATATGTTAGTGTTAGCATAAAAAATAAAGTCTCTTCTATGTCAAGATTTTCTAACAAGAATAATGAGTCATTTTCTTAACGTATATTTTTTTCGACATTTTTCCCTTTCGACATTTCTACTGCCAACCGAATATAATAATTGTAATGCTTTTGTGCAAAAAAATTTCATATTTTGTTGGAAATCTATTTTTGTCTCTTCATTGAACCATTTTATTTTTGATTATTCAAACAAATTTTTTTTTCGTAATTTGCCTCTCATATGGGAAAGAAATTGTTCTGCATCATCGATGTATGGACGGGAGAAGCAACTGAATTCTTCCGTATTGTTTTTAACATTGCTTACATTGAAACATGTTATTTGTAGCAAGAACAACGAAATATATTGCATCCTATGGTAAACATTCTTCGTAAACGACTAAGAGAATTTCAAATATAAAATTTGCACCAGAACAAAGCGTTGTAGATGTGGATGTGGATTTGGATGAGGCAAAGAGGGTTATTCACGCATCTGAATCCTTAATATTAATGAGTTTTATTAACTTCTGAAAAAAGTTAGCTCGAAATTATCTTTGATGTGAGGCCGGATCCAGAGTCAGACTGTGTCCTAATATGAAGATTAGTTATTAGTTACTAAATATTAATAATATTAATTAACTTTTTGAAATAAAACTTTTCTGCAGACTATTTTCGATAGAAAGACTGACCGCAAGGTCAATTTTCGCTCTAATTTTAATATTTATAAACTCGATTGAATTTTTAATGTTGATTTGTCAACTTGTTTAATATTCTGTAAAATACTGATGGAAAAGTAATCTATAATGGAGAAATTCGATTTAATCATCAATTTTATATCTATCACTTAGATTTAATGTTTATGACTTTTTTAAATATATACTTTAACATTCGAATGAAGATAATCATTTGGGAAGGATTCGAATGTTCTAGAAGCTTTTATGTCATTTTTATTATTCAATATGCGATATTGTTTATTGATATGCTGAAAAAGTTGACCAAATATGTTGAAGAATCAAGATATCGAATCTAGCAATGGAGGTGTTTATGTTGTCAGCTAATCAGATTAGACATATTCAAGTCAGATTAAATTTGGCATTGCGAAAAAAAAAATCAAGATATGAGATGGTAATGGTGTGCAATAATCGAGATCTTCGAAATCCAAAGTATTTAAAATGGATGTAAGATGCTCATAGTTCACAATTTCAGCAGAATTTTCTTTTTTCCGTAATGATTGAATATAGTTCGTCGAGTTGCATAAGAAAATGTATGTTAGAAGCTTTAAAAAACCTAATTTTACAAGAAGTCCAAGGCACCATTGTTATGAGATGTCGACGATAATAACCCAATTCTCAAACTTTCATGAAGTTGGTGTGTTGAATTTTAAAACACATTTTATTATGCAAGTATGCGAGCTTTATCCAATCATCCTAAGAAAGCGAAAAAAAATCTGCTGAAATTGAAAATTTTATGCATACTACATTCATTACAAAATACTATAAAAATCGATTATCTAGGTGTTTGGAGACCATGAGCAGCTCATATTTCGAATTTTTTGATTGTGAGTGAGATATTTAATCGGATTTGAATATTTGTAATCTAATTAATTTACAATACAAATATCTTACATGAAAGATTCGTACGAACATGTTGTATTTTATTTCTTTTTGTAATCATTTCATTTTCTAAAAGAAGATTCTATGTAGCTAGCAGAGCCATCAACATACATTTATTAATATTTTTCACAAAAAGTTCGAATAATATTTATTCAATTATTTTCTTTTGTCAATGCAAATTGTTGAAAAAATAAAGACTCTAAATGGGGTTGGTAGATGATTAACTTACACGCAAATTTACAACCGAAGAAAAACAATCAAAAGACACTGTTTTATTATTGAGAGAAGAAAGATTCATTAATTTACTCTTTCCATTATTAAACGAGACAATCAATGATTTAAATAAAATATCTCTTAATATTATTCCAAGCAGGATTACGTTTTCAATTCTTTGCTTCAAGTAAAATATCAATACATCGAAAAAAATATCTGAAAATCTTATGCTTTTCTTCAGAAAAGAGTCAGAGAATCCATCGGATTGGTTTTAGCTCGTGGACGTGAATGCTGCGCTGCTCTTAACCTATCTCCACTCTCTTGAATAGTGGAGATAATTTCCCCTTCTTCTCAGAACACACCAAATTGCAAGAAATCTTGAAAAATTCCAATGAACTTTTCATCATTTCACAAAGATTCTCGAAATTTTTATTACCCATGGTTTTAGGGTGTGGGGTGTGGGTGTGGGTGTGGGAGTGGGGTGTGTGGGTGTGGCTGTAGGTGTGAGTGGAAGATGCGTGCTGTGGTGTTGTTCTACTCTTCGACAGCACATACACACGCCCGCAACAACATCCATCACCCACACCAACCCACCCACACCACCACATCCACACCCACACCAACCCACCCACACCACCACACCCACACCCACACCACCACACCCACATCCACACCCTTAGACAATTTTGGACGACCATACAGTTGAAACAGACTTCGCAGAAAAACATCGTTCAATAGCACAAGCAAAGCATATATAAAATG